CACATCCCGAGGGTTCGTTCCTTCCAGAAAGCCACCACAGGAGCCAATAAAAATGTTAAAAGGCTGCACAAACTCCCTCTTCTGAGTATCTTCCCTACAGTCAAGGAACACCATAAAAACTACAGCATGGCATTAGCTTTCTCCACCAGCTGGAAAAAACCCAGGTCCACTGCCAAAGCCTGTCAGGGAGCTGGCAGCTCTCTGAGCACCAGGCTTGCTTGGAGAGCCTCTGCAGCCTGTCTTCCTTCCAGCAGCAGAACCCAACACTCAGAGCACCTCAAATGCCACCTTTCCCAGGAACGATGTCTCCCTTTCCCACACACAGAAACTCAGATGTGTGATAGGAAAAGACAAACTGGTGCTTATCTTTTACTACCTCAGCAAGTTTCTTTCCAAGCACTGAAATCCAGCTGTAACACCCAGCCATCAATAGCTGGGAAGTGCCAATCCAAATGACACCCAGATCCTTCGCAGGAAAAGAGGAACAAACAAATGGCAGTGGTGCTACCTGAATTAATTTTCTGAACTCCCAGTAACAGTACCCCATGAAGAACAGCAAGACTGGACTAGGACACACTCACAGGCACAGCACATACTGCCTCAAACTCTGCTCCCCAAGTTTGGCACCTGACGTGACACCCAGGGCCACAGGAACTCCATTACCCTGTCCTAGTCCACACACCCCTGTAAGGGAAGCTTGGAAGGACTGAGCTTTAATCTAGTTACTTGACAGTGGAAAACCCCAGAGACAAACCCAAGAATTAATTAGCATGGCAACCACTGCATGCACAGCCACACTGACACACGAGCTGTGTCCCCAGGGATGGAGCACAAAGGAACCTCCTGATTTCAGCAGTCACTGCAGTGGGGCAGAACATGGGAAGTGCTCCAGCAGCCAAGCTTCCAAAAGAGCCAATAACACATCAGGCACAGAACAAGAAAGCCACGAGGTCACTGATGGCTATCAAGAACTGAAACATCACCTTCAGCCATCCCAAAAATCCCCTCAACGCTTTAGAACCTGTGGGACACGAGCACAATATCCCTGTGCCCACTCTCAGCGCAGGACGGTGCAATCAGCACCAGGGTGAGTTTCCAGGGAAGGACACAAGGTTCTCCCGCTGCTCTTGAGCAGCCTGACATATCCTCTGGGAAAGGGCAAAGGTATTCAAGCAGAGATCAGTGCTCTTTCTCCCATTATCTTCCTTTTCTGCTCCATGTCCTCGCAAAGCCCTCTGTGCCAGGGAGCACAGCAGCATTTGAGGAGAGCGACACCAGTCCAGGCTGTGCCTCACGAGGAGCCCGTGGAAAGGGCAGCCAGGCCCACCCAGGCCCGTCCAGCCTTTTCCCTCTTCACTGTGACAGACACGCTCACACACACCCCCAGAAGGGGACCCTCTTGTGCCCACACCCACAGTGCAACACAGATTCCCTCAACAGCACTGAAAGGGTTATTTATCAAAGCACATTACAGAGATGTCAGCAAAGTGTTTCTTATAAAGTCCTGGCTCGTGCAGTCACGTGGTGTCTTCCTACGTAGAAAAGGTACAGAAAGAAATGTGGTCAACAGGCAGCTGTCACACCCAGGACATTCCCACCTGGGAAGGGTTGAGCCTCTCCTGCTCACATGAGCTTGCCAAGCCCAACACCATAACAGTGAGCTAAAAATAAAAGATTCTGCTGCAGCAGAGCACGACTTCTCCTACAGTTATGTTGGGCCACTGTTGCATGTGAGCTGTGTAGCTCCCAGGGACAGCAGGCACCAAGCTCTCAGTTTCAGGTTCCCCACGAGCCAGCTGCAGGAGGCTAAACCTGACCTGTCAATGTGGTGCTGCAATTCAGCTCCGTTAGGAAGTTTCTATTCCTAAGAGGCACAGCAGATAATTCTGATGATACTTGGACAACCCAAGAAAAATAAGTTATGCATGCATGCTGCCTGCAAGAAGGGCATGGAGTGCCACAGGAGGACAACAGAAACAGAGGAGATGGTTTGTCAGGGAGAGCAGCCAGAAGGGAGACAGGCGAGCACAGGCTGGGAGAGCCCATCAGCCCTCGAGCCGTGGAGCCTCGCCCTGTGCCTCTGCCACGGAACAACATCCCCCTGCAAGGCCTCACCCCTGTGTGTGTCAGGACAGGAACCTGGGCCGTGGGCACAATCCCAGAGCGGGATTCGGCTCGGAACCCCAGGATGGGCTGTGCCCTCTCCGTGCCCAGGCACACGCTCGCTCTGGCCGAACTGCTGCCGACCAGCACCAAGCCGCTTTGGTTCCTTCCCTGCGTGCCGCGCCCCAGCTGCTCCGCTCCGCTCCCCGCGCAGACTTGTGCCCAGCGCCACCTCCCCTTGGGAACCCAGGTATTTTCAGGTTTATTAGAGGCCGCGGTTCAGCCCAAGGCTGGCGCTAAACCGTGACCGTGAGTTGGCTGCGGCAGCGGAGCTCGGCCCGGCCGCCCCTGCCCGGGGCCCGGCACCGGCCCGAGGGCGTGGCCAGCGCGGGCCGCAGCCAATGGGCGCCGCTGCCGGTGATGTAACGCTCCCCGCCACCTGCCATTGGCCAGCTTGGGCGCCCCGCAGGCCCCGCCCCGCCCCGCTCGCCCGGCACCGCCCCGGTCCCGGCCCCGGTCCCGGGGCGCTCGGGAGGGCCTAAGGCCGCTTCCACCGGACCAGGAGCAAGCGGCCGGGACGCGCGGGGCCGGCACGGCCAGCGCAGGCCGTCCTGCCGCTCCGAGACCGTTCCGGGACCGGCGGCGGGGGCACCGTCCCGCCGAAATCTGCTCGTTTGGGTCAACAGGCACCGCCGACACTCCCCGGCTCACAGGCAGCTCGCTCCCCACGGCTCACGGGCCCTCTCTGCACTGCCTGCACAGCCCCACCTCTGCTGCAGCGAGGTCATCACAAACAGTAGACAGCTAATAAAATATAGTCTATTTTTTTGAAAAGTGAGGCCAGGCCACTGCATTCCCAAGCGCACATCCAAGCACGGTGCTCAGAGCAAAGCGGGAAAGAGTACCTGCGGAGCAGCAGAGCACAGGCAGCACACAGTCACTTCGCCACCACACACACCCATTCCTCTCCACGTTATCACATCTCGTTGCTTCCACGGTGCCACCTAATCCAGCATCCAGGAGATACTGCCATGATAAAGGATCAGGATTGCATCACCGAGGAGAGGTCAGCACCTCCCTTTTCCACCCCCTCCCTTCGAGGGGTATCAAGTAAGAGCCTGTCCATGTGCTGCGCTGACCAGAAAAACCGGCGCGGATGGAGTGGTCACACCTCCCCGGGACAAGGGGCACTTTGCTCTGGGATGCTCAGAAAGTAAAGCTGTTATTCAAATAAATTTCACAGCAGTGGCAGAATTTACTCTGGGGAGCAGATCAGTCCAAACACTGAAGATGGCAAAGAGAGTCTGATGTCACGCGGTTCAGGGAACAAAAGCCTCTCCGCAAGCTCGGGGCTCATCAAGCCACAAATTCGCATGTGAAACGCTGAGATACACCAGGATTTCAGTGCAGGGTCACAGCAGTGTGTGTTACTCACTCCCTGTCACAGAGCAGTTAGTGCAGCCCTCACTGGTGAGCAGCAGCCCCGGGCTCACCCAGATCACCCAACAACGTATTCCATGTCCCTGACACCCATCCCTCAACCCGTGGGGTGGAGCAGAGCTCGGACCTCTATGGCAGCCTGAAGCCACGAGCCAGTCATTTAGCCACGCTGAAATTCCAATGAATTTTTTGTGTCTGGGCCCTAATCTGTCTGCAGAGGGGGGAAGTCAAATCCACAGAAAATACTAGAGCCTCTCAAATCTTACTTGACATGTAGGAGAGCACAGAAAAGCCTGGAAGGAAATTTCTCTTTCCGTGTCAAAATGATCAGTACCAGATAAAACACATTGAAAGGACGACACAAACAAACCAGCTTTGTTCTCCAACATGTGCCAGTTCGGCACAGAGCACAAGATAAAGCACTTCAGGTAAGGAATATATTGTGGAGGGCAGCACCAGAGCTTCACACTGACACCCTCCCCTTGTAACTAATCTGCACAGCCCCACCAGAAAAGGTACATTCTGACCACACCACGCCAGGGCTTGGCTCATGTTAACCCAAGCTCTCAGCAAACAAAGGTGAAGAACTGTGGGGAATCCCTGACCTTACTTTGACCTCCAAATTCACGCCAGAACAAATGTCTCTAACCACCAGCAGCGCCCGTGTCTGCAGCGAGGGACAAAGCAGACAAACGCCCGTGCTCAGCACTTGTGCCGCAGCGCGTTGTGTGTCTGTCAGCACCTGCCAGGGCTGCACAGCCTGCCCAGCCAGGGCAGGGGCACTGCGCCAGCACAGAGCAGCAACCAGTTCGTGCAGACAGCCCCCAGTAAGAAAAACAGGACCCAGCAACGAGCGGAAAAAGGGAGAGGTCCCAAACAACATGATCTAATCTCCTCGTGCCTTCACGGCGCACGCTGCCAGCACAAGCACCGAGCAGGGGGTGCAAGTAGGACAGGTCAAGAAACGAGCCTGTGTGAGCTGACTGTGCTTTATCCTCACTGCAGGAGCCCAAGCAAACCAAAAGCGAGGATTCAAAAGCTGATAAGCCTCGGCAGCAGGTACTGTCCACGCTCCCCAGCAAGCACCAAGGACTATGCAGCTATTGCTCTTCACCATTCCCAGAAGCAAAGATCCGCGAAACGCGACGCACGCTGGAGTGCCGGAGCCACTCCCTGCTCCACAGCAGCAACAGCTGGTCGCGACACCGGCCTGCGGCAGGCAAAGGCAGCACCGGCTGCGCTCCAGCCGGGACGCTTCGGGCCCGAGGAACGGCGGCCCCTCGGCTGGCAAAGGGCCACCCACCTCCCCGCCTCCCGGGAACGTGGGGGGGGGGGCCCGACTGACACGGGGACAGGCGGCAGAAGGACCCAGCGGGGCGGGACAAGCGGCTGCCCGAGCCCCGCCCGGCCCGGTCTGATCCGCACTCCCGCCTCGGGAACCGGCCCCCGGCACTGACCTCCTCGCGCCGCTTCTGCCAGCGGCCGCACGGCGACTCTTCCAGGATCTCGGACTCGTCCTCGCTCTCCTCCTCCTCCTCCTCCTCCGGGGGCGCCGCGGAAGTCACCGGCGCAGACACCGAGGTCATCCCCGGGCCAGACGACGCGGGCTCCGGCTTGGGGTCCGAGCCGCTGCTCGGCACCTGCTTGGACTCGCCTTCCGACATGCTGCGGTCGCACACCCTGCGGGAGAGGCGCGGCCCGTGAGGCGCGGCGGGAGGCCAGGCCGGGCCCGCCGGGCCGGACCGGGCCGGGCCGCGCCCGCCGGGCCTGTCAGCCGGAGCCGCACCCCGGGCCTACTGGCAGCGCCCGGCCGAGCCGGTGGTGGGCGCGGCGGGGGGCGAGGGGCGGGGGCCGCACACTTACCGGGCCTGCGGCACCTCCTGGCCCCGAGCGCGTCCCCGCCGCAACCGCCGCGCTGCGTAACGCGCCGGGCGGGGCGGGGCCTCCACGCAGCCAATCAGCGCCCGGAGCGCCGCGTCAGCGCCCGCCAATGGCCGGCGGGCGGGGCCCCGCGAGGAGTCGCAAGGCAGGGGGCGCTCTGCGGGCAGGGCCGGGAAGGACCGTGAGGGGGCGTGTCCGGCCCGCGCGGCAGCCAATGGGAGCGCGATGAGGAGCCGCCGGCGCCGCTGATTGGTTGGTGTTCTCGGCAGAGCGCATATAACGCGCCAGGTGCGTGCGAGCCCCGGGACGGGTCTGGCACCGGCCTCTGGGAGGCCGCGCGGCTTCAGCCGGTACCGATTCCCCTGTTCCCCCGAAGGAGCTGCAAGGCAGCTTGAAGCCAGTGGCGACCCGTGTAGGCCGTCCCGAGGCGGAGCGGGCCGCGGTGCCGCTCTGGCTGCGTCTCTATGGTCCGCGCTTCCGGCGGCCGCGCTTCCGGCCGCGCGACTTCCGGTCGCCGCCCGCCGGTGCGAGGTCCTGCCGCCCCCGCGCTCCGCCCGCGCCCCCCGGTCCGGTCCGGGCCGGTCGCCGCCGACCGAGGCCGTCGCGGCCGCAATGGGCGCCTACTTGTCGCAGCCCAACACGGTGAAGAGCTCCGGGGACGGCGCCGGGCTCGGGCCGCGCCCGCTGCACTTCGGGTTCAGCGCCATGCAGGGATGGCGCGTCTCCATGGAGGTGAGGGGCTGAGGGCGCCGGGGCTGGCGGGGCGGCGGCATTCGCCCCCAGCCCTCCTCGGGGTCCTGCGCCGACAGGCCCCGACGGCGAGGGGGTCCGGGGACTGCCGAGGGCGAGGGAGGGATTCTGCCTCTCCTGGTGCCGCCCCAGCCTCCCCCGAATGCCCTACGGCCGCCGCGTGTCCTGGCTCCCACGGGGAGAGCCTCCCCGGTTCGAGGGGGCACGTGCGGCTGGAGAAATTCCCGCGAGCAATGAGGAATTCAGGGCAAAAAGCCGAGGGAAGGAGCGTTTAGTGCTGGGGGCAAAACGCGGAGTGAAAGCAGGGGGGAAATCCTGAGGGAAAATGTCTGGGTTTCTCTCCTGAAATGAAATGTGTCCTGCTGTGCTCCTTCCCTGTTTTTATCTATTTCTAGGAAGATTTGTAAGAGGAATTCTGCTGGTTGCTTTCAGTCTCCTGCAGCCAGTCCTGGCCTTGCTGGGCTCAGCGTGGGCAGATGAGTTACCCCCAGGCCCACACCTGGCTGAGGATCCAGGCATGTGCCTGCACTCCCCCGTGCAGGAGCTGCCCTGCGAAGCTGCTGGTTGGTGTGAGGGCAGAGTGGGGCTGCTGACCCTGCAGGGCTGTGGGCCTCACACCCTCTGGGAGTACCAGTAATGTGCTGGCTCGTTTTCCCTTCTGGGCAGCCAACACACAGCTGAATTCAGGAAGAATTAACCCTGGTCTCTGGAGCTCCCCAAGTCTCACCTCTCAGTGTCTGGTTCGTGGCCCTGTGGCTGTTGGGGGTGTGTGTCCCATTCAGGCTGTCAGGGGTTCATGAGCCCCTTGTCAGACACTTCACCCCTGCTGGAGTGGGGCAGCAGTACAGGTGACAAACCACTGACCAGGTGTTTCCTCCCTCCTGCCTGTGAGACCCTGAGCTCCGGTTCTCGGGGTAGAAGGTGCAGAATTGGTGCTTGTGCTCTTGAGAGACGCTCAGAGTAGGTGTGTGCTGAGCAGGCTGACAGTGTCTGAGCTGGTCCCTCCCAGTGACCCTGTAGGGGGCAACTGGTGGCACAGGGACATTCCTGGAGCACTGAGATGTAATCTCAAAGGTGATTAGTGCGAGTGCAAGTGGCTGAACACTTGCTGAACGTGGGCATGGCTCTGGCATCCCCGTGCCTGGAGCTGCAGCATGTTCAGGAGCCAGCCTGGGACCGGGTTCTGCCCTCACTCACTCCAGGGCTGTCACGAGTACCTGTGCAGAGGCTGGACGAGGGCCTGGGCTGCAGCTGTGGGTTATCCAACATCCCTGGCTCATCCCTGCTGGCAGAGGCAGTGCTGAGGCCCTTAGAGTGGTTTAGCTGAGCTGTCCCAAAAAAGAGCAGATGGCGGGAGCTGAACACACACAGCTGAGCAGTCCTGTTGCATTCTCTTGCATTCTAGTGCTCTCTGGGCTCCACTCTCTGTCGTGTCTTGGTTTGTGTTTTTTCCTTTTCTTCGCTTTTATTTACACTTTTGCTTTTCTGGAAGACTTGCAGAAAGTTATGAGCAAATGTTTGTGCATAAGGCTCTGGTTCTGTGTGTCAGTGAGGGCAGCCAGAGTGTGCAGGTGGGAGGGCACAGGCATTTTGGATGGCAGAAACTGTGTAAAGGAGCTTTTTTTGCCTCTTAGGTTTTAGGAACTGCCAAGTGAGGTGGGTATACAGGGCTCTGAAGAAATACTGTGCCTTAATCCGGAGAGGTTGCTTTGGGATTAAGGAATTGTTTGGGGCAGATAAGGGACTCAAAGGATAACTTAGTTTTAACTCGTTTGCTCATTTCAACCGAATTGGATGTTTGATGTTTCAAACACACTGTTTTTCATCAGTACTGCAGTAACCACTCAGTGAGGGGACAGGACAGGCTGTAAGGGGGGCTCAGTGAGGGGACAGGGCAGGACAGGCTGCAGTGGGGACTCAGCAAGGACAGCACAGACCGTTTTTGGTGCCAGTGCTGGGTTTCCTACCCAGCAGCATTTGCATTTCTTTAATTACACCACTGTTTGGTCACCTGGGAGTCATCCCACTTAGTGTGCTGTGGGTTTGCTGTCTCACTGGCTTCTGTGGATGCTCAGAAAAGTGAGTGTGAACATGCTGGTTCTTGGTTTATCCTTGTTTTCTGTTGTGCTCTCTCCAGTGAGCTCTGGGGAAATTTCCTGCATTACCATTCAGAGTAATTTTTTCATTTTCAGATTGTCACTTGCCTGTTCAGACACTTTTCATCCCAGTGCCAGCAATCCACTGCACGGAATGCTGCATGAACCCAGACCCTCTGTGTTCCCCTTTCCCTGAGCAGGGAATAGAGTTCTCTTTTTACAAGATTGTTGGGACTCTGGAGGGCAAAGAGCCCTTATCTGAGGAGTCCTGTGTGAAAAACGAGAGGAGTTCAGTGGTTGCTGGGCTGTGACTGAGTGCAGCTCAGCGTGTGTGTAACTTTTGGGATGTGGAGGGCAGTGTGGACACATTCAGGGATTTAAGCCAGATGTTGGAGTGAGCAGTGTTTTGGGGCAGCTGTAGCACGTTTAAGGTGATGAACCATGGCAAAGATCACGTTGCTGAACGTATCACAGGATGGTTCCTGAACAGGAGGGTGTGGTGAGGTGGCGGGTGAGGGTTGGACTTGAAGGAATGTCATGAGATGAGCTGGGCAAGGGGAGGGCTTAGGAGGAGGGTTCAGCCCGTCTGTTCCAGGCTCTGCACTGGAATAGCCAAGGTGGGATTGCTTAGCTGTAGGTGAAGAGGTCAAGCACCTCTTGTGACTGTAAAATCGGGGTGCTGCCCCCCTCAAAGGCAGCTGTTCCGAGAGACCTGGTGGAGAGAAGAGCTGAGCAATGTACGTGGCTCATGTGTGGTTGACCTTTTGTGCTGGAGCATGTCCAGAGGTGGTAACGGAGCTGGGGAAGGGTCTGGAGCACAAGCCTGATGAGGAGCTCCTGGGGGGGCTCAGCCTGGAGAAAAGGAGGCTCAGGGGGGACCTTCTGGCTCTGCAACCCCCTGACAGGAGGGGGGAGCCGGGGGGGGGTCGGGCTCTGCTCCCAGGGAACAAGGGACAGGAGGAGAGGGAGCAGCCTGAAGCTGTGCCAGGGGAGGCTCAGGTTGGATATTGGGAACAATTTCTTCATGGAAAGGTTTGTCTGCCTCTGGCACTGGCTGCCCAGGGCAGTGGTGGAATCTCCATCCCTGGAGGGATTTAAAAGCCATGTGGATGTGGCACCTGGGGACATGTGGCAGCACTGTAGCCTTGGCAGTGCTGGGGGAATGCTGGAGTCAATGGTCTCAGAGGGCTTTTCCAACCCAAACAAATCTGTGGTTCTGTGATTTCCTGTGGGTCTAATGCAATCCTTGTCATTGTGGACCTTTGCTCTCTCTTTCAGGATGCTCACAACTGCATTCCCGAGCTGGACAGTGAGACAGCCATGTTCTCCGTCTACGATGGACACGGAGGTAACTGTGCCTGCTGGGCTCTCTCCTGGCCTTCAGTGGGACCCCTCTGGGCTGTCCCTGCCTGCTGGGGCATCCAGCCATCTCTGGGAATCCTGCTCCTGCCTGGGAAGCGTTTTCTTTGATAGAGATGGTCAGTGGAGGTTCTGAATGTTTCTTAGGGGTCCTGGAAGGAAGGTCAGGGGCTGATCTGAGACTGAAATCAGGTTTGCATTCCATCCTCTATGGCTTTGGCTGTTTTCATGGTGGATCAGCTGGACAGGAGAGTCACAGAAGGAAAGGTGGTGAGAAAAACCACCTGAGATGAGATCAGAGGTCTGAATGTGTAGGCAGTGTGTTCTGGTGGTTGCCACAGGGAAAAGTGGAAATCAGAACAGGAAGATCCATTCCCTGCTGTGCCTGCCCAGCTCCCACTCCCCAGGTGAGGGTTCCCCGAGCTGGAGTTTGCAGCCATTCCATCCTGCAGACATACTGGAGCCTTCTTGGTGAACTGTCTCTTCATGAATTTGTTTAATTGCATTTTAAACAGGTTTCTATGTTTGGTGATTGTTTGCATTGTGCATTTTGTATAGAATTATTTGAAAAAGATATGATTAAATCTGCTGCCTGATAATTTCGCTGCAATATCTCTGACACATATGAGGAGTGAGTGAGTAATCACTCCATAAGCACTTTTCACTTTTGCCATTTTGGACTTCAGGTCCTTTCTTTCAGTCAGAGAAGCCCTGGCCTTGTCTCTGCTCATACAGCTGAATATTGCTGTTAAATATTGTTGCTAATATTACAGAATTCCTTCTGCCAATATCACATAAAAGCACAAGATCCTGTTGTTAAATCTTGCAAGTTATTTTAGTTTTGATCGTC